AAGGACCTGCAACGCTTCCTGGGCTTTGCAAACTTCTACCACCGCTTTATTAAGAACTACAGCACCGTAGAAGCCCCCCTCACTCAGCTCATGTCCACCAAGGTGAAGTTTGCATGGCCCAGGACAGTGGAGCAGGCCTTCCAAACCCTCAAAGACCGGTTCACCACAGCCCCCGTACTTTAAAACAGTATGTATTAGGCTCTGTGTTTCCGGGGTCTCTTTTCTCCAGCAGCTTGTCTGAGGGAGGGAGCCACCCAGGTTTGTGCTTCTGTAACTTATATTTGTGGTCATTTTTAAATAAACCAGCACTAAAATGAAGCAAGTCAGACTCCGTCTTCATTCAGATCTGTTCAATAAAAGAACTGGGGTATAACAGTTCCAACCCCTGCATTATCCCACAATTACACGATATATAGAAAACTATCATAATTATAAGATAGTAAGTCATGATTACAAGATAAGATAATTTTTTTCCCTTTGGTGAATGCAATGCGCTTCTGTAAATTATAACATATAATTATTGACAAATCATTTTCAGTGTAATCCTAAACTTAACACAAAATTATAATGGAATAATTGTGAGATGGATTTCCTGTTAATTTCTAATTTCCAGGCAATGTACAACCTAAACTTTAAAATAAAACTGCTAACTATTTTTTGCATTTTAATTTATACCCCAGTGTAAGCATTTTTAATGAAAATGAAATAGAAATTGAATATATAGTCACAAGAATCAATTCCATAATGGTTCATAATGGACCTTGACACATTTTAGAAAATGTGAGAGATATTTAAAAACCTGTTCCCCCCATCCACAGCAGAAATAACTTGGCACCAGCACAACCCTTCCCCTCTCTGTTGCCTGCCACAGGGAAGCCATTTGCAACATGGTAACAGTGTGATAGTGTAAGTCTTATAGACTCTAGCTACTTTATAAGCTTTAGTTACTTCTCATACCTTTAGTTCCCTTCAGTTACTTTTCATAACTTTATTTTCCTTGTTTATACATATTACAGCTGTATTGATGATTGTCCAGAACTACTGAGCTTTGGTTATTCTTAATACATTTATTTTCCTTGCTTATATATCTTACAATTGTAATGAAGCAGAATCTGCTTACTTTTAATGCTGTAACTTCTGTTGAGCTTAGATGTCTGCATCTCTTTGTGACCAGACAGCCTATTTACATTTTAACAGAGACAGGTTGGTCTGTTTTACACTCACACCTCAACCCACTTAGCATATCCCAAGCTTTGCTTTGTCTTGGGATGTCCTGCAGAGGCCGGGGGCTACAACCTGAGATGACCACCTGGCCAGTTTAACATACTTATTAGCATCACACACACAGGGGGCCTGCAACTCAGGCCACCCATTGATCAGCACACCCTGATCAAGATCTGGGTGCCGGAGACACACACACACACACACCTGGTCTAGTTCACATATCAGCAAGCAAACGCAGGCAGGGGTTGACCTAC